GAACCCAGGGCCTCAGGCATTCAAGGCAAGTGCTCTACCACTGAGCCACCTTCCCAGCCCCTCATGAAAGAAAATTTTATAGAGGTTACATTTTTGTTCCAACAGTACACTTTGAAACCAAGTATGAGTTTAAAATGCTTCCCTAAAACAAGCGCCAGTGGCCCACATCTGTAATCTTAGCTACGCAGGAGGCAGAGATCTGAGGGTCACAGTTCAAAGCCAATCAGTGCAGAAAAGTCTGTGAAACTTTTATCTCCAATTAACCACCAAAAAGCTGTGGCTCAAACAGTACAGCATTATCTTGAGGAAAAATAGGGACAGCACTCAGGCCCTGAGTTCAAGTCCCAGGACTAGCGCGCACACACACACACACACACACAACAAATAATTTTTTTTTAATGTAAGCTTCCTTTAAAAAAATTTTCAACATTCCTTATCTGTTAAAATAATCTGAAATCATGGGCTTGGTAAAAATCTACTCACAGACATTCTTTTATCTAATTTAAAAAATAAGTATTAGAAGATCTGATGTACTTCTCTCAGCTCTAAGACAGTGGTAGAAATGAGGCCCACAGCTTTCACACATCTTACATCTAATGAAGGCAGTAGGAAAACAAGCAAACAACTATCTGACATCACCTGTTTACAGATACTCAAATCCACAAGAGAGGCAGGGAACAGACTAGTAAAACTAAGTAACTTACTGGGAATTAATTTGAGTTTTAAAATTCAGAACAGGAAAAATTCTTATGAGTATAAACTCGACTTTTAAACTCAACTTTTCTACACAAGAAACTAATAAATACTAATGATGCAATTCCAATGAATCTAAACCACTACTGGCAACAAGACCTTAAATTTGATGATCTGGGCTGGGAAGGTGGCTCAATGATAGAGTGCTTGCCTTGCATGCATGAGGCCCTGGGTTCAATTCCTCAGTACCACATAAGCAGAAAAGGGGACAGAAGTGGTGCTGTGGCTCAAGTGGTAGAGTGAAGAACTTAAGCTGAAGAACTGAGGGATAGCGCCCAGGCCCCATGATGGGCAAAAAAAGAGAAAAATTTTATGCTGATCTGGAACTAAAGGACCTTACTTTCTGGTTACCTATTGAGATTAGTTGTAATCCTCATGAGGGCTCACTACTAAAACTTCTCTCATGCTCATTTTTTTTTTCCCTGAAGCTTTAACTCAGGGCTTGAGCACTGTCCCTGAGCTGCTGTCACTCAAAGGAGGCACTCTACCACTTAAGCCACAGCGCCATTTCTGGCATTTTCTGTTTGTGTAGTACTGAGGAACCCTGGGCTTCATGCATGCTAGGCAAGCACTTTACCAGTAAAGCACATTCCTAGCCCCAACCTCTTGTGTGTTTTATGTCCTTTCTCAGATGTATTGAAACCACCCTGGACTTCCCTTGGAGCAGCCAAACTTTCAGTCCTGAAATTGGCTAAATCCTAGGTAACCACGCCTATCTTCAGACTAGAGCCTAAACAGTAATTAGCTAGGCACAGTGGCTCAAACCTATAATCCTAGCTACTTAGGAGGTTGAACTCTTAAGGATCATGGTTCAAAACCAATCCAGGCAAGGCATCAAAGTCCATGAGACTCATCTCCAAGTAATCACTACAACAGAGCTGGAAGCACAGCTCCAAGTAGTGGTGCACTACCCTTGAACAAAAAAGCTCAGGGACAGTGCCCAGGTCCTGAGTTCAAGCCCTATGATTGGCAAAAACACAAAAACAAAAAAACTCCACTAACAATGCATAAACAGCCACCTTTTTCAACTCAGAATTTTGCTGGAAAGCTATAGATATGTGGTTCAACTACTTAAAAAAAAAAAGCCTCCACCACCCACAAAAAAGATTTTCATAAAATGTGTTTCAGTGGTAGGGCACTTACCTATCATTTGCACAAGGCCCAGGGCTCAATGCCTCTAATACTCGAAGGACAAATGTGCTGATATGATATAGACATATACAATCAGGGCTCTGAATGAAGAATGGATGCTCCTTGATTTATATGATAGGGTTTGCACTGAGTCCCACAAATCCTTAGCACGCATAAGGCCCTGAGTTCAAATTTCAGTACCATTCAAATAATTGGGAAAAAAATTTCAAAATTAACTATGTGTTTCAAAATCAGCTGTGGGGCCAGGTACTAGTGGCTCAAACCTGTAATCCTGGCAACTAGGGAGGCAGAGATCCTGATGATTGTGGTTTTGCCGTATCAGGCAAAAACCCCAGTAGCTCCAAAAAAAAAAAAAAAAACCATGTACTGGAGGTGTAGTTCACTGATAGAACACTACATGAAAAAGGGTAGTGTAAAAAAAGCCACAAATGGCATAATTCCACTTACATAACAGGTCAGGGTGCCAGACAGGAAGAGGGCAAAAGGCATAACCCCTGGGAATTTTACAGTGACAAACAGTCCTGTATACTTAGTGACTACAAAAGCATATACACTATGTTGAGATTAACAAAACTGCACATGGGCAGTTTTTCCAAACAATTTTAAGCTACTTTCCAGTGTTATTTCAAAAATATACCAATGATTCCATCATTTTACTGGGGTACTGTGGGGTACAGTGCTGGAACTGGAACTTGGACTCAGGCCTAGGCACTATCCCTTAGTTTTTGTGCTCAAGGTTGGTACTCTACCACTTCAGCCATAGCTCCCTTCCATCTCTTTTGATTAGTTGGAGATTAGTCTCACAGACTCTCAGCCTGCTGAGTATGCAGGAATACAGGCATGAACCACTGTTTCCCAGAACTTTTTTTCACACAGAACCTTTAACTATTATCCCTAGTTTAGTAAAATGAAAAACTGAGAATCACAGGTTAACTAAGGGAGGCAGCATGATTCAAACCCAGTCCAGATCTGACACTAAAGCAAATGAGTGCACACACGTGTACTAAGCAGGTGCTCAACCAGCTGAGCCATACCCTACCTAGAACAACATACTACACTGTTCCCTCTGCTCATGAATGCTCATCGTTCTGTCTCTCCAAGTGACAGACAAGAAAGTTAAGTTCCTTTAGTCCACTCCTAACTCAATACGGGCCCAGAGTTCGGGCCCTTAGTTCAACTCCCATAACTCTAGAGGAACATTGTCCAACAGAACTTTCTGTAATAATGGAAATGATCTTACAATATCAGTGCTGCCCAATATGGTAACCTCTAACCACATGTGGCTATTGAGCATATATGGCTAAATGTGATATTCATTGCTACATCCACATGTGGCTAGTGAGCACTAGTTTGGATCACAATTCTAGAGAAATACTAAGAATGTACATGCCAGAGTAATTACTACAAGAAAAAATAATTTATGGCAGATATATAATGAAAGAATTAGACCAAGAAACCCATTACCTCCAAACTAAACAGGTTAGCAAACTAAGAACACTTTCTGAACATCTGTTCACCCTTCAAGATTCAGTTGGCATAACAACCCACTACAGCACTTTTCACATCTAAAACAGAACCACTGAATGTTAATTATCCAGTTGCTTTCTCTCTCAAGAGCAGAGATGTTTGTTATTTGCATATACACCACCAATACCTACTCTACACCCAAAGGCCTTCTACAATAGGTTTTTTCTTTTCCTTCTAGTAGGAAAAATACCATCATGTAGGTTTTTCAACTACAAAGTCAACTAAACCTAAGGATTTAAGTACCAGAAGTACTCAAGAGCTTTGAGTAGGGCCTGTGGGTTCCAAGAGAGACATAAACAAAAACAAGAAGTAATCTACAAATGTATACAGTGGTTTAAGAACAGAAACTGTCAGGAATCAAGGTAAGATAAACTGAAATGTGTTTTAAGAAGTTGCAGCTAGGAGCTAGTGGCTTACACGTGTAATCCTAACTACTCAGAAGACTGAGATCTGAAGGTCTAGGAGACTCTTATCACCAATTAACCACCTAAAAACTGGAAGTGGAGGGCTAGGATGTGCCTTCATAGCTAAGTGCTTGCCTAGCAAGCACAATCCTGGGTTTGATCCCCAGCAACCACACACCAAAAAATTTCAGTTGTTTAGGTGGGGAATGTGGCTTACTGGCAGAGTGCTTGCCTAGCATGCATTTAGCCCTGAGTTTGATTCCTGAGTACCACATACACAGAAAAAGCCAGAAGTGGTGCTGTGGCTCAAGCAAAAGCTCAGACAGCACCCAGTCCTGAGTTCAAGCCCCACAACCAAAAAGAAAAAAGTGCCATTCTTGCATCTTGCATTTTTTTAATAGCAAAACATATAAGCTAACTGTTAACCTACTATGTGCCACCTGTTACTCAAGAGAATGTGGGGAGAGAGGCACACAAAATCAAAGGGAAAAACAAAATCGAGAAATGTACCCTTGCTTCATTCATTCCTTCAATACCAGGTTTCATCCTATTTCTGGGATTACTAAACTGCACTGGTGGCTCACACCTGTAATCCTAACTACTCAGGACGCTGAGACATAAGGATTGTGGTTCATGATTCAAAGCCAGCCCAGGTAAGAAAAGTCCTATCTCCCAATTAACCACCAAAACCCAGATGCTGTGGCACAAAATGGTAGCACAATAGCCTTGAGTAAAAAAAATCTCAAGAATGGCACCTAGGCCCTGAGTTCAAGCTCCACAAGTGACCAAA